TTTTTGGTCCCAGCTTTGAACGTCTTTCTCATCATAAGAGATTTTTCCATGATGCATGCGAGTGTCTAGCAGCACCATGCCCTCTTGGTAGTCTGCTGTTACAGTGCCAACGTCTATTATTACTCGAGGAGCTGGAGATGGAGTGGAACAACATATAAGTTTATAACTGAAGCGATGTTCGGCTTAGTATAAAACGGGCGCAGTTAGTAGGACGTAGAGCGCGGAAAATGGAGCGAGGGACGTGGGAGTTTAGGTGCAGAGCAAAGGAGGTGGTATGTGGGGCGTAGGACGTCCAAATTGAAACAAACGACCCACGTTTAACCAAACAACTAACAACAGCTAAAATTAGAAAAGGTAAATGGATAAGATGCAAGGTCTAATGCTCAATAAAATTCAATGATTTCATGTCAGGTATTGCCTAAACAGAGCAGCCTAGGTTGAAGTGTTCCCCTCTGAACTAGGCTTTCCCAGATGTGCGCGCTGCAAGTTTGATTCGGTGTTTAAAGCTTAGGTTGATCCCAAGGATTGGAGGAGCCTAGTGTCGTGGGCGTACATGGCGGAATTTGGCGCATGAATGATTTACTTTGGCCGAGCGAGGGCACCCGCGAGATGAAGATAATACTTGACTTGACTACTCTCTACTCTACTCGCCACCGTGCGCGTGTTATCGCGGCATGAGCCAATACGCTCATGTTGCTGTTAATTAACCCTGGTTTGTAATTACGGTTGAATCCCCCTGTCTGTAACTTTCAAGGGAAACAAAAAATAGTTCGCGGGGGCTTGAGATAGCTGATAGTAAATGACCTGAAAAAGCATATTCAAGGGAAAATGATTTGAGTTCAGATAGCGGGAAGTTTAAGATTTCGGACAACTGTAATTATAACCCTTAACCCGCTCCCTCTTCTCAATCTGGCCACAATCCTTCTAGAAGCTATTCCTGGGAAATAAAGACTTTAAATCCCTACTCCAGTAGTAGAAACTGCAGCCATGCATCAAATATGTTTTGGTAGCATAGCCAGAGAGGAATAACCCAAAATTTCTCGATCATAATTTTACCTTCATTACTGGGTTCGTCCAGGTCAACTGGGAACTCACTTTTCTTATCGTTTGGTCCTCGTGGACGGCTGCCATTTTCAGAATTTGGTACAAGAGGTACTCTGCCATCTGTGTCCAGACGCTGTCATAAACATGTAAAGAAATAAAGTTCAATAGGGAGGGGGAGGAATGAAGGACAAAATGACTAAAAAGACCTTATGAATGAATGAATGAATGGACGAAACAATAAGCAAACAAATTAGGAACTAACGACTACATGACTAAAAGAGTAATCGACTGACTGACTGACTAACTGACTGACCGACCGACTGACTGATAGAATGACTGACAGATCGACTCAAAAACTGATTGACTGACTGACTGATTGAATGAATATATGATTGACTGATGATCCGAAAGATCGACAGATCAACTGACCGACTGATCGACTGACGGACTGAAGGACTGACTGATCGACTGATTGACTGATCGACTTATCGACTGATCGACTGATCGACTGATAGACTGATAGACTGATCGACTGATCGACTGATTGACCGACTGACTGACTGAAGGACTAACTGATCGACCGATCGACTGATCAACTGACTGAGTGACTGAGTGACTGACTAACTCATCGACTGAGTGACTGACTTACTGGCCACTGACTGACTGACTGACTGAAGAACTGACTGACCGACTGACTGACTGACTGACTGACTGATTGGCAAACAAACTGAATGATTGACAAACAGAGTGACTGATTCTCAATATTTCTCTTTCTACCAGCACATTTTTGCGCCCATCCCTTTTACGATTTTCCAGTTACTACCATTCTCTCGTCAAAACAAAATTACCAATGATAGCGACAACAAGTTTATCTTAGGCTGTCATACCTCTTCATCGTTTTCAACGGCTGGTGCCGGAATTATTTTAGGTACTGGCAAGTGTAATGGTTTTGGTTTTGGTTGATGTTCAAACTTCTGACCTTTCTTGCTTGGATCAAAGTAATGCAACAGCGCTTCTTCATGGATCTCTCGGTGTTGTTTGTTCCACGAAAAGATGAAACTTCTTCTTCCATCGAGGCACTCCTCATTGAACTGTAAAGCCACTTTCCTTCGAGCCCAACGCGAGATCACAGTACCTTCTTCTTCGTCCTCTCCTCAGTAATTATCGTCTCCATCAATCACTATCAAAACTCTGACACCTTGAAAGAAATAATAATAGTCTAAGATATAAGTCCTATATTTAAGCTTAGCCAACTGATCTTTATGCTTGCAATATTACATTTTGCATCGTTCTTTGTAAACACAGGAATGACATTTCATTGCATTGTTTGGGCTTTACATAATCAATAATACGAGAATCAGCTGTACGTGTACGTCATTGTTGACATATCTTGATGTAAACACACACAAAAGTTTGAGAGAATGCGAGAACGGCTTCAGTGCAGACTTCCGCTTTCGGCTCGGGTTTACATTTACCTCTCTAAATTTAACCCTCCCAAATAAACGTACTCTTGCTTTTCTAGCTGCTTAAACGCGTACAGCCGTGCACCGTGACATTCTGAAAACACGAAGATCATGAAGTATAACTCTTCATTTTGACCTGACATGTGGCGTAGGCGAAAGCGAAAGTGTTTACACTCCAAATCGATCTCGTTCTGTCATTGTTCTATGAACTTTATCCTTGCATGATGTTTGTCTTAACAGTTTATAACCGCTAAAAT